AGTGACTTCATTATCACAGTGCATGAATCTTGCCCCACTAAACTCTGCCGACTGCCAAATCTTTTTATCTGGCGTGAGAAGCTCCCCAGCGGCCGGCGGCTTTGTGAGGCAGATCTTGGCCTGCTTTCCTTTTTTTCAATGATAACTTTGTCACCGACGGACTGGATGCGTCTCCAATGATTGCTTGCTGGCTCTTATGGTTTGGCATCAAGGAGTGTTCTGCACCGTGTAAATGCAAACCGGCTTTGTGCTTGCGTTGGAGCTGAGCTAGCAACATTCGTCGCTTGCCAGTCGGAAAGGCAGGCACTAATGCCTACCAGCCGATGTGCTTACTGTACCTACCTGCAGCATGCATTGCCCGGCTGGAAAAACATCTCATCTTCAAATGTGCAAGAAGATCTACCTGCTGTTTAGGCGCTTTCGAGCTTCCGAACAAACCGGGTTTGCCTGGTGCTGCACAATCCACAGTCAATAACTGGACAAACTGGCGCGAAAGCTGCACTGACCTAGTGCCATATTAATGGAGGACTTGAAAGAGTATGACCACACTTGCATTGGTAAACACCACGCAGTCTGAGCTGCTAGAGCCAGGTAAAGGTGACAAACACACGATGGCTGCACAGGAAGTAACGTGAAACATGTTGAAGCCCGGGATGTAGATGTTGGCAGGCAAGCCAGTCTACGAACCCGTACTGCCACCTGTTGCGCCAGCGCCGCTATGTCAACCATCAGGATCCAGGAAAAGGGACATAACGAGGCAGTAGCCAACCAATAGACGTCGACGCATCAACGTGCGTTTGGCAGCGTCCAGCGCAAGAGCATTACAATGGATTGCAACCGCACTTTCTTACTTTTTACCTGGGGCGTCGTACGCTCGCTCTCAAGCCGCGGTCTCAGACGCCTCTGCTGCCAATCGGAGGATGCCAACACCGCACCTCACTCAAGGGGCGGACCGAGTCCCGGGGGAAGCCGCACGCTGCGGTGCATATAGCAGACTTTTTGATCCGAATAGTACCGGAAATAGTGCTATGAAGAGTTCATTCGGGCACATTTCGGACACTATTTGGGCATTATGCGGATCTGCAGAGTTGAGAGTAGGATCTGCAAGGCAGGATTTGGGGAAGGTCCGCAAGCAAGCGTTTGAAGGAGCATACACGAAAAAACATGAGAGGTGGCATGTGCAAAAAATTGAATATGCAAACAAGAAGACTGTCAATGACTGACTGCTGCTGCGCTCGATAAAACACAGAAACCTCCCTCCCGCTCCCTCAATTTCAATGTGTGCGGGGGTCTGGAAGGTTAAAGATTAGTTGATTTTCAATCCTATAATGGTGCCCCTGTGTCTCGCCAAGGTCAGGAATACTTTCTGTTTTCTCCTTTGTGAGTTTTAGAGAACCTTCGGTGTAGGTGTGAACGGTAGGAGTAGGGAAAAGTTGTCTGTCTGTCGGTCGCTGCGCTCACGCTTCCTGTCTCACCTTGCGGTGAAAGTGATCAGTGTCAGAAGCGTGTCCAACCGGAGTTTTTCCTCACGAGTTTTCACGAAGAATGGTGTTTCCCTGAACTTTCCTGAAGCATGATGAACATCAGAGTGTTTTCAGTTTGTTTGCTGTGAGAACGGACTTCTAGACGAAGTCCGGGGAACACCTGGGCCGCGTAGCAGAGTTGCCAGTGCAGAGAAGCCGTTAGGAGTCCTTAGGACTTACCTCGGAAGTGAGTGTGCTGAAGTCTCTGTCCGCGCCCCGTTTCATTTGGCTCAAGACTTGCACTGCGTGACAAGCGCGTGGTGAACAGTTGGTTGCGAAGAAGGGTGTAAAAGTGCTGTTAGCTTTCACTGCTGTAGCCTTGTTTGACGTAGTCAGTCAGTCGGCTTGCACCTCCTTTTACTAAACCTAGAAGTGTGCCTCAAGGCGCGTTTGGGTTTTAACGTGGTAGCGGAGCTCAAGGTTGCTCCTCAGAGCCATGGACCCACGAGCCGAGCCTAGCCGCGACCGTTCCCCAAGAGGACGGAGTTCAGGGCGAAGTGCTAGTCGTGCCAGTGGAGTTTCTTCTGGCTTTCCCTCAACCCCTCGAGAGTTGAGTGCACCTGGCTCGCGGACTCGTGGAAGGTCCCTCCCTGCTCGGAACAGTCCGACAGCACACCGGCCTGTGAGTAGACCCAGACCTCTTGTGAGTGCAGGTCAAGTGCCTCAGGTGCCTTTTCCACAGGTACCTCAACAGGTTCCGTTGCAGCAGGGTTTTCAGCAGCAGCAGCAGCCTCAGTTTGGAACGCAACCAGCTTTCCCTCACGGAGGAGGGATTCCGCAGCAGGCAACTGTGCCTAGTCCAGAAGACAACACTGTCAACCTTTTCAGGCAGATGTTGCAAGCCCAGGATGAACAGATCCGAGCTCAGCAGGGCCAGATTTCGCAGCTCACCGAGATGGTGAAGACGCTCGCCGTTGCGAGTGCAAACGCTGCAAGTTCGGCCGCAAGTGCAGCTCCTGTTGCTGCAAGTTCGTCCCAAGGGACGCCCGCTGAAGCTCTTGGAAGCCTGGGTGCCATCAGAGTTGACTCTGATGGTGTTGTGAAGATGGATGTGGACACAGGCTTGCGCAGCAACAGGGCGGAAAACTACATTCCGTCCCTGCCAAAGTTGGCTGCGGCAGCAGACAAGATGAGATCGCGCCATGAGGAAATCTCCACGTGGACCGCTTACCGCGAAGAACTGACCTCCTGGCTGTGTCTTTTAGACGACCGCTACGCGGAGGAACTGCAAGAGGCTGTGGAGAGCGGTGTTCAAGTTCAGCAGATCAGCCTCTCAAAGGGAAAGGCCGCTCGTTCCACTAAGCTGTGGTACCTCTTGAAGCAGGCTCTCGCTGGTTTTCAGCGAGGAGTTGACATAGCCAAGCTTGTCGAGTTGAGTCAAGGCGGTGCCGCTGCAGGGTACGACCTCTGGCGTGAGTTGAACAAGGAACTGTCTGTTAGGTCTCGTGTGGAGGGACAGGCGCTCAGAGAGCAGGCTCTCTTGATCGCGCCACCAAAGCACTTGAGACGGCCATTGGATATTTTTCGCCATATGATTTCTGATTTTGCTCGCTACCGCACGCTCGTTGCCAACAAGTACCCAGACCTTGAACTGCAGCAGGCTGATGTTATCAGCTGCATCTTGAAGCACCTTCATGATGATTGCAAGAAGTACCTTTTGTTGCATGGGTCTTTGACAACCTTGGAGCAGCTTGAGCGCGGTTTGGTTTTCTATGATGAGCAGCTTCGTGTTTTGAACTTTCACAAGGAAGCCTCGAACGCCAAGGGCTTTGCAGCTTTTGGCGCTGATCGTTCTGAGAAGGGTGAGCCCAAGGGTGGCGAGCCCAAAGGAAAAGGTCATGGAAAGGACCAAGGCAAGCATGGTGATAAAGGCAAAGGCAAGGACAAAGGAGGAAAGGGAAAGGACAAAGGCAAGGGTGGCAAGAAGGGCGGAAGAGCCCGATCTTCGACACCGGCTCCTGGGAAGAAGAAGCCGGGCACCTGCAACTACTGCCACAAGCCGGGCCATTGGGCCAACGAGTGCAGGAAGAGGATTGCCGATGAGAAGGCTGCTGCGACAGCAGCGGCGGCAACAGAGAGTGCTGCTCCCAAGGTGGCCCCTCCTGCGCCTTCCTCGACTGCGGCGCCAGCTCCCACTGCTCCAAAGGGTGCCGGGAAGATTGGCAAAGCGGCCCTCCTTATGTCGTCCTTGTTGCCCGCGGCAGGGCAGATTTCTGAAGCAATGCCTGAGAAGGGACAGTTTTTCACCATGACTGCCTTGATTTTCATGTTTTTCATGTTTTGCATGGTAGGATGCTTGATTTGTCGGTTGGTTGCATGCTTGAGTAGCCCACGGCAGTCATGTTTCACGTGTGCTTGCGTAGCCGTAGCAGTGATTGCTTTGAGCCTTGCTTCCGCGCCGCAGCCTCAGCTTCGTGCTCGGTCTTCAGAGTGCCTTGCTTTTCCAACTTTGGCACTTCCTGCAGTCACTAGGGACGACCCCTCGTATCTCTTGATTGATAGCGGTGGGAGTGTTCACCTTGTTTCGCAAGACATGCTTGGAGTGACTGCGAAGCTGATCCGAGAGCTTGAGGTTGAGCCTCTCTTTGTAAGTGTCGCCAACGACCAGACTATGGAGATAACTAGGTACGGGTTGCTAGAGCTTTGGTTCCCTTGTTTCGAAGAGGGGCCCTCTGGAGCCCAAGCTTACAGAGAGATCCGAGTGCAGCTGGAAGCGTATATTGCCCCCAATTCGATAAGCATCCTTAGCTCAGGCATCTTGCAGTCTTTAGGCTTTAGGATCTTTCATTATGACTATGATCCTCAGTTACATGTTGCATATCCTCCGGGTGGTCTGCGCTTTGAGACAGAATTGTATGCCAACACGTCGTGGCTGAAAGCTTGTACCTACGTTGAGCCTGATTCTACTGATGGCTCCGTGCAGTTGGTTGAGAAGGGAAGCGTGAGTTCTGTTGTCCCGTCTCACCCTGTAGGTGTAGGCCGTAGGAGTAGGGCTTGAAACCGTAGGAGCGCGTGTTGGTCGGTCGGTCGCTTCGTCTCACCTAGCCCACTCTTGCTCTGAAGGCCCAGTAGAACCTGTAAGGGACGATGGCTGGGTCCGACCACGAGATGGACCAGGACATGGAGGACTCGACCTTCCGGGTTCTAGGGTTGCCGGCGGAGCAGACGGAGCTCTCCAACGACGTGGCGCTGCCGACTCCGGTCTCTTCCCCGGAATTGTCTCCTCACCTCACAGAGCCGGGCTTGCCGACAGCAGAGGTGGAAGAGAGTCCGCCGATGAGTTTTGCGAGCCTTTTCGAAGACAGCCCGGTGGAGCCGCCGAGTCCGTTGATTCTGCCAGGATCGGAGACTTCTCCCCGTGGCGCTCTTACGAAGGCTGGTGCCAGGGCACTGGCCAGGCAAGACTCTCCAGACAGCCCGGTCGTGACTACTCCTGTGTACGCATGGCGTGGGAAGGTGGCTCCTCTCAAGCCACCCATGCCAGAGCCGGATACGACTCCTATGCCTCCCGTGCCGGAGCCGAGCACGGCCCCTATGATCGTGGAAGCACAGGAGGAGGAGACGGACGAGGACGAGTGTTGGGGCAAGTGGAGACCAACGTCGAGCACCACAGCCTCCAACATTGCTCCTGGCTCGAGTGCGCCCGCAGCCAGCTCCCAGAGCGTCGTTATGCAGGGGAAAATTGCGGATCTAGCCTTGTTCAGGCAGCGAGCCAGCGAAAGGAGGCAGGGAGTGTTGTCCCAAGTACGTGGGGCACAGCAGCCTGTGACTCCACCGAAGGCCCCAGGCTCAACAGCTATGGTGCCAAGTACGCCCCCAAAGGGGCCAACTACACCACCGAAGTCTCCGATTACACCACCAAAGGGGCCAACTACACCGCCGAAGTCGCCTATTACGCTCCCGAAGGAGCCTATGGCGACACCGAAGACGCCGAGTACGCCTCCAGTGGCACCTGTGGTTTCCCCGAAGCCGCCGGCAAGGGCAGTGAACATTTGGACGGCGACACCGCCGCCGCCAAAGAGGGTGGTCGCAAAGGGCAAGGCGAGGACGGCTTCCGCACCAAAGGCGCCACAGGGGACGCCACCAAAGACTACGAAGCTCCAGGAGGAGCCACCGAAAGCCCCCACGGCACCAGCTTCAGGGGGCACAGAGCCACCGGAGGTTCCCACGACACCATCTACAACGCCGGTGGGGACCACATCTACTACAGCGGTACCTCCGGAGGTGCCAAGTCAGCTACGCCACATGCCTTTTTCGGCCATAGAAGGAGTGCGCCTCGGCTTCATGGACACGGAGGGTGCCGCGACCTTCGCCCACAGAGCGTCCCTTGCAAAAGCAGCAGCCTCAAAGCAGCAGGGGAAGGCCCCGAGACCACCAGCGCCACCGCCGGCGCCACCGTTGATGGAGAATACGCCGGAGCCTCCTCGAGTTCCAGCTCAAAGGTCGGTGCCAGTAACAATGCAGATGCAGGTTCCTATGCAGATTCCGGTGCCCATGCAGATGCACGTGCCCCCGCAGATCCCCATGGATTACCGCTACAGGCCCTATCCGGCCCGACCGACCACAACACCGAGGCCGAGTACAGTACCAGTGGCGCCGAGTTCAGCGCCGATGCCAACGCCCACAGCAGCGCCTTCTCTCCGGGCGCCAGTTCCAACATCGAGGCCGTTGTTCATGCCGCCGGCAGCCACACTAAGGCCTATAGCAAAGAAGATGATGCCGGCATCCAAGCATGCGCCAAAGCCACGTGCAGTAGTGGGCGTTCACTATACCATCGAGATGCCCACGCCAGAGGAGATACCAGTGGCGCCGCCGACCAGTTTGGCAACGGCAGCGAAACCGGCACCTTTGCCTCCTCCGCTTGTGGACCTCGAAGAGGTCGAGGAAATCAGCAGCGATAGCGACCTGTAACTTTAGCCGCTCTTGAGCAGCAGCCAAAAGAGGGAGCTCGTGAAGTTCTTTTGCAGAGTGCCGCTGTCAGAGAAGTGCTGCCGGTAGGTTGCCCAGCGTGTGTTCAGCTAGGTAGTCCAGCTTGCGTGCAGGTAGGTTGCCCAGCTTGTGTTCCGGTAGGTAGTCTAGCTTGCGTGCAGGTAGGTTGCCCAGCTTGTGTTCCGGTAGGTAGTCTAGCTTGCTTGCAGGTAGGTCGTGCAGCCTGCGTGCCAGTAGGGAGTTCAGCGTGCATGTCGGTCGGTCGCCCATTGCTTGATTCAGGTGATGTGGGTGGTGCCATTGGTGTTGAAGAGCTAGAGCAGCTTTTTGATGATGATGGTGATGACCGTGAAGGGTTAGAGAGAACCACCCCGAACAACACCAAGCCCCCGGTAGACCCTGAAGAAGCTCTCCCCGAAAGCATCGGTGCCGAAGCTAGATTGCGCCACCAACGTCAGGGTCATACCCCCTACTGGGGTGGCTGTCCTAGCTGTGTAAGATCTAAAGGGCTAGCGCCCGCCCGAACACGCAAAAGTGTCGACCCACTTGAGGTGCAGATGGATCAATACTGGTATCGAGGCATCCGTTTGATCGCTGTGGTGCACGTACCGACATATTGTATAGGGACAGCTGTGACTTGTGTGGGAGATAACCGAAAAGTCACCGTGGGGAAGCTAGTCAGATTCCTCAAATCATTCGGCCTTAAAGAGGTTCATGTTGTACACGACGGGGAACCGCTTTTAGCAGCTATGGCAGCCGAGGTCGTTGAGATTACAGGTGGGAGTTCAGTTTCTACGAAAACCTCGCCTAACAGACACGCCCCGGTAGCTGAGAGAGCGATCCGAACGCTTAAAGAAACAGCTTTGGCCAACGAGCTTCATGCTAAGGGTGTGAGTGGTTTGAAACTGTTGGCTAATGAGGAAGCGATGGAATTGCTTCACAGCCACACGGCTGCTTCACACAACCGGTTCGGAACGTCACAGGGTCAAATGTTGAGTCCTTTGCAGCGAGCTTTGGGTGAGAGTCACACGCCTCACTTGTTGTTTCCTTTTGCTTGCATCATGTACATTCAGCCCCCAGAACACCTTGCATCACAAGTTGATGGTCGATACGACATTGGTGCCTATCTCGGCCCCGTGATTGGTGGGCAAGGGCATCACTGCATGGTCAGACTCTCAAATGGGTCTATGAAAAGATGCGTCGCCCGGGCTCTCAAGATGGCCTACCCAGTGACGTTCTCGTCGAACTTGTTACCCACTATCGCCGAGGCTAATCCTGATGAGCCTGATTATGAAAGCCTACCAGGGGTGGCCCTACCGAGGAAAGCCATCCCGTTGCCGCAACCGGCGCCTGAATGGCTTGAAAACAACAAAACGGCACGTTGTCCGGGATGCTTAGGTAGATCGCGCTTCCACTCTAGGCGTTGGAAAGTTCGCTTTCGTGATTACATCAGGGATACGCTCGGTGATCTTGACAATCCTGAACAGCAACAAGCCCCTGAAAAGCCTCAAGTAAAAATCAACCCGAACCCTGACGTTGTGGAGTTTGAAGAAGAGAGCTTGGACTACGAGCCCAGTCTTCCTGGGTCTCCTGTTCCTGAGGATCTGCAGCACCTGGTGCCCGAACCCTCACAGGCAGCCCAAGACTCTGAGCTCCCTCAGGAGTATCTCCCTGGTGGGGATGTTGAGATGGATCAGGTTGATATGGACGACTACACTGTGCCCATGGATGTTGCTCAGGTCCCGGATGTCCTTGACAGTGCGAGCATGCCTCAGTTCATGTTCTCAGTGATTCCGGACCAGAAGCATCACCTGAGTCCTGTTGAGTACGGTGAGGTCGGCTTGTTTGCTGCTCAGCTTAAGAGAAAAGCACCCGCTCAGCACAGTAACCCCGATGAGGGGGTAGCCATGCCTTTCGGTGATCGGGAGGTGTGGGTCATCAAGCACACTTCTGTGGTTGATGATGTCAGTGGCTTGCCTTTGGATCCTGAGAAAACGTGGGTTGGCATGCAGAAAGAGGTGTCTGCTATGCACAACTTGGGTGTCGGCAAAGCCCGCACCTATGATGAGATTAAGACCCACTGCCAGGAGACAGGTGCCAAGATCATTAAGTCGCGTTTTGTCTTCACTGACAAGGTTGATGTTGACGATCAGCACATTGTGCGTGCGCGCCTTGTTGCAAAAGACTTTGCTTTCAATCAACCTTCGGCGCTTGACTGGGGCATTGCGAGCCAGACTGCTTCTGTGGAGGCCTTCAAGGCTTTCATCTGTCGTGTTGTCCAGGATACGCTTGTCCTTTGGGGACTTGACGTTTCGACTGCCTTCTTGTATGCCAAGTTGGTTCTTGATACCGTGCTTGAGTTGCCGGGATGCTTTCAGACCCTTGATGGCTCTAAGGTTTACGTCATCCTGGAGAAAGCCATATATGGCTTGAGATCGGCAGGCCTTTCGTGGCAGAAGCATCTTGCTGGACTTCTTGCTGAGTTGGGATTGTTTCCTTCTCTTATTGAACCTACGTTGTACAAAGGGTATGGGGGAGACATCCTTGTGCTTTGTCTTGTGTACGTCGACGACATCTTGCTAGCCACAAGAACGAAAGAGGCAAACCAACAGCTTCTAGACTTCCTCATGGGCCGTCTTAAGGTCAAGTTGACTGGACGCTTGGATGAGGACGGCAGGATCGGATTGCTAGGCCGTGAGATAATCAAGCGTGGCCATGAGATCTTGTTGGCTGTGAAGAAAGAATACGTCGATTCGATCTTCGAGGCTTTTGGGTGGAGCCAGGAGAACCGCAGGAAGATGAAGCCCTGCACTGCACCACCAGACCTCCGATCGATCCTTGACAAGGAAGACACCGAGAAGCCCTCCGAAGAGCTCTCCCCTGAAGCCGCGAGCCGCTTTAGAAGCACCCTAGGGAAACTAGGCTGGCTTGTGCAAACCAGGGGGGATTTGTGTTATTTTCACTCCATGCTGTCTAGAGGTCAAGCCTGTCCGCGCGCTGTGCATGAGGATTGTATGCGTAAAGTGCTCCGTTGGCTGTTGGAGGTTCCCGATCTTGTTCAGGTCTTTCAGAAGGACTCCAAAGCTCAACCTGGGACTGCAACCCTCGTTGGATTCAGCGACGCTAATTGGGCCTCTGAACGCTCTACTGGACGGAAGAGCACCAGCGGAGGAGTGATTTATCTGAATGGGAACTGTATCAAGACTTACTCGAGGCTCCAGCCTATCGTAGCACTCTCCAGTGCGGAGTCTGAGCTTTTCGCTATGGTTGAGATGGCGCGCGAGCTTGTAGGATTGGGGCAGCTTTTGGGCCACCTTTTCGAAAGCGTTGCGCAACCCCTATACCTGCCTACGGACAGCTCTTCCGCCCGCCAGGTCAGTATGATGTCCGGCTTCCTGAGAAGGATGCGTCACGTGGACCTTCGTCTTTGCTACTTGCAAGATAAGGTTGAGAACGGCGAGATCCTGGTTACACACGTCCCAGGAACAGATAACGTCGCCGACTTGCAAACAAAGAACTTGAGCGTCGCGCAAACTTGGTATCATATAGGACAGTTGTGTCTTGAGGAACGTCTCACCCGTAGTGACTATCTTCGAGGTGATGCGCCCCCGGTCCGTTGCCTTGTGTTTGCCGCGTTCAAAGGTCTGGTTTCTGCAAGCGTCGATGATCCTTGGAGTGTGTTGGTTGGTCGTTGTCGGTTGCAGACACCGCATTACATTGTGATGGTCGAGTTCTGCACCTCTGGAGAAGCCTGGTTGACTAAGCTTGCTAGCCACTCTGGCATCCATGCTATTCCCGTGACGGAAGAAACGGATGGGACTCTTCCGGAGACCATCGAGCTCATTGAGCATGCGCTTCGTTCGGCGCACCGTCGGAACATGCATGTTGTTGTGTGGGCTTCGACGCCCTGTACCGGTGGTTCGCCTTGGCAGCGCTATCACCAAGCCCGATCTGCAGATCACTATGATGAAAGGATGAAAGGACTCTTCACAGTCCACAGAAAGCTCTGGAAGAGCTTCTTGAAGCTAGTCAACACATCTGATTCGGCAACTTGGGTCATTGAGTGGCCGCAACGTTGTGCTTACTGGGGATGGTCCGCTACGAAGTCATTCCTTAAGATCAATCCGCATGAGACCGCTCTTGTGCATGGTTGTGCCTGCGGTATGGTTGGAATGGACGCACTTCCCGTGAAGAAGGTTTGGAGGTTGTGCTCGAACAGTCATGTTCTCATT